CGTATTTCCTGCGCAGTTAACATCTCAAGCACAACTTTAACGGCGCTTGTACCCACGCGGAAGAAATTCGCAGGTTTTTCTGACGAGCTGACATATGATCAGTAGGGTTTTCAAAGGCCTCGCCTATTATTCTTACCAAATAAACTGAATAAACTGAAGGGACCGCCAGCATTATCCACGTATTATGGATGGCACATACATCAGTTGTAATCGTGATGATTGAGATTTCATCTGTCATTTGGGCGCGAAATCGGGGCAATTTTCAAAGAACATGAATTTCTAAAATCAGGTTCTGAAATCTATTCATATCAGCTTTAAAAAAATATACGAGTGGTTCTCGTATATCCTTCCTTCAGTAAGTTCGAAGGCCTAAATTATGCATTCCAAATAATGCCAGGTAAGACGCAAACGAAGAACCTCAGTAACTACAGTCGGCTTTTGGCGTAGCTGAATAGTCGCAACAAGTGTCCGATTCCTAGTCATAAACCACGCCAGCACACTAGGAAGAGCCTTCCAGTCGCTCGTGTGTTCGAAGAAATGTAGGTCCTTAAGGGGTGTGTATAGGAAGACAGCCATGTCAAGTAAGTAGGACATACTTGCGTGACTGCTGAGATACAGGGAGTGGACACTCACCCAGACGGCCAGTGTGTGAAATGGAAACCCCTTATTTCTGCACAGAACACGAACAACGAGTGACAGCCAGGGAAGGATTCTATGAACCACCCCTCATCTCCTCACTGCTTATCAGTATTTGTCTCTACTACATACAACGATGGGTCCACGAGCTGGTAAAGGGAGTTAGACATTAAATCTTTTCGAAAACAAGGCGTTCCGCTTCACGCCTCATACTTCACGCAGATAAGTACTGTGTTGATATGCCAGAAGTCAGCAGGTGATTTGGGCGTCTCTAAGCCAAGCGAAATTCGCACAACGTCGTAGTCACCGACAGTTTCGGACAGCCCTAGACCTCTCTCCTCAAAAGAGATGTGCCTCAAACAAGAGCATCAGCCTTGCTCTAGGGATCCGCGCCAATTTATGAGGTTCCCACACCAACAAACTAAGGTCAAACACAGTTACTGGAATAGGAAAGGTATTTTCGTGATGCAGCGGATCCAGACTTAAGCCGATCACCTAAGGCAGAAACAAAATAATGCAGCGCATGGAAGGAGGTGTAGTATGCATATGTATATACAGGATATAGACGTTACGCAACCACACAAATGGTACAGCTAGGAGCTCCCACATCCATTGCAGACAAACTTGTTTCCTGCGACAATGATCTTGACATTCGCAGGTGGCCGAACTCGCACTAACAGTGGCGAAGAATGACAACAACGCTACGGGACCCGGCCACAATTTCAAGCGCAATTAAACCAAAATCTTCGCGAGGTAGGTGACAAACACGGGATTCGCGGGAGAGGTGGATCCTGCTTCCCCTATCCCTGTGCGTCAGTATTCGTCCATATCTAGTGAACATACTTTGCCTGGACGAAGTTATTTGATACTCAGGCATCCGAAAGTTCAGAGGAAGAAAATTCCTTTCCTCCGATCTCCTTTTCCAAAACTGTCTTCTAGAGATTTCCTTTGCGTGTATATCAGGAATTAATGTGATTTCTGTGCAATTTTCGCAAATTCGTGTCCAGTAAGAGGATTGTAAGGGAAATACAACACAGTGGAGCTGATGTGGATAGGTGGTTCAATGGCATCAGTTAGGAAGCTGCTTAGCTAGGGAACGTTTACTCGGCAAGATCCAAACTAGACCGAGAGAACCGACCTTTTAGTTTAGGATTTAATACAGCAGTCGCCATGTCAGCTGTAAATGTCGCGACCTATGTGCTTCTGCATAAACGTCGGCCGCAAAATGTTTTACTTCAATCTTCCTAATTTTTCAAACGCAAATTGTCTGAGTCACGCACCAAAGTCAGTAATTTGAGGAGATTTTTTTAAGGATAGGGGGGCACCTATTGCCTTTTCGTTCGCACCAATTACAATGTCGCATTAACTTCCTAAAGTACACCAGGGAGGCGTTCCGTTACATGGAACATATAGGACGTATCGAAGGAAAGAAGGGCGGCCGAAGGGTAAACTGTTCGGAGGAACTGAAATGAAGCAGGACTGTGATGTGCTGTTGCGGGTTCTCTGTAAGTATTCAGTTCAATACATTACAACTAACCTTCGCATGCGGACACTATCCAAATGAGATTTGCAAAAAGTGTGTGCATAAATTTGTTTATGGTAAGTTGATGTTTAATGTCAGTCCTTATCCTTCAGCGTAGCATGGCGACACTCAACATCATAAGTAGGTGTATGGGCAAAAGGTAAATAAAGGCTCTTGCCGACACTTTGGCCTGGAAACAAGCAAGTGAGATTCACTACACACATTTAAAATCAGAAAGCGAAGGGAATTTGTTGCAGATCCATCGTGAACCGCAGCCAATTTTCATGGAACACAATTAATCTACAGCCTCATGCCGAGCGAGAGTGACGACTTACTGATCCACCCTGGTTGCATGCCGTTCGGGTGGGGGATGGAACATAGACCGACGAGAGGCGAAGTTAATTCCGAAAAGCTAACTCGCATCTACTTATTCTGCCGGCTCACTGCTTTCTGTATTAACATATAGCGAAGATGTAGGCTGTACTCGTGCGGACTGATTCGTATGTCGCGCTTGAACACCTTATAAGGGTTCCACAAATTTTTACACTTGCCAACACTCAAAACCGTCTTTTGTTCGACTTTGGAAAAAAGGACCACGCACCTTTAGTAGTCACAGGATGATGATCTAATCATTGTGCCCATCGAGCAATGGACGGGCGGAAGGCGCCCCGCGGTTATGCGTTCTCTGCGGGTGGCGCACACTGTCGTCGCCTTCGACGCCAAAAAACGACACCACCACCGCTGCGGGGGCAGAGGCACACTGGACGTGCGTAGGCGGGAGGGTGGTGGTCCAAGAGATGTGGGCTGCGTGTGCAGAGCCATTGTGTTTCGTGCTGTAGAAACGCGTGACTATGGGGTTGTGCAGGGTACTCCCCCCGCAAGGCAGACTGTGAATCATTGACGGCCTCGCATTTCGTCTGTTTATCTGCACATACTCCCTTTCTCTCGCTCCTCCTAATACACCCGACACCTTTACTGTCGTTGCTGCCACTGCTGATGCTGGCACCACCACCAGCACCACAGTTACTGCTACAGGGGAGGCGCGGGTATGGAATCCGTCACCAAAGCCTCGGGGGCGGGGGGAGGAAGACAAACGGAAAGGAGGCCAGCGGGTGGTCGCATTGCACGCGCGCAGCGGTCGTGTGAAGGCTAACAAAACAGACATTCACACTATTCCACTTCCTTCTTACTAGGGGCTGACTACGCCCCCCCCTTCCCCCAATGAACACAGGAGCACGCGCGTGCGCATGACAGAAATTACCCTCTGTGATTGACAGCTATCGGGTTGGATGCACTGTCCAGCGGGTGCGTGTGCGATTAAGCTGTCGGCAGAGCGAAGATGAAGGTGGCGTAGTCCCGCGCCAATTAGTAGCTGATAAGCATGCTCGTTGTCATCCCTTATCCGTCTGCCATAATTTCTCCACTTTCGTTGCTTCAGCTGTCGTCATTGGAGGCTTTTGGAGTTATCGCAGTTTGCTTCTCGCAATAACGAAAGCGACAACTGTTCCAGATGGGATTTAAAGGCTCACTGATCCTCACATTCTCCCCCCCCCCATCCGCCCCGCCTACACATCATTTCTACAATCCTTTGCGTGGATCACGGGACAAGCAAAACCTGTCAGTAAACAAGTGGGCAGAAAGTGCATAGGTAAGGTGAAATTGCAATTAGAATCTCGAGCTTTAATGACAGGGGTGGTAAACAGAACATTGCGCGCTTAACTCTCGAGAGTTTGCTTTGGCAACAACGATGAGAGCTCAGTGGCCCACTTGGCGAGATGCTTGACAATGACAAAATAGATCACGCGAAAGCTATGGCTTGGTCAGATGTGGCCTCATCGGTCGCATTTGCTCCAAGAAGTTGCCGGGTTTGAAGTGGTCAGCAGTTCGTAAGGCTGAATTCTGACTTTAAAAACTACTTAACCAACTAACAATTTCAGGGTGAGATTGTCAACTTTCTTTGTGCTGTCGG